GCTATTTGGTCAGCCATGGCTACGTCTTCCGCAAACTATTTGGTCACGCAGGGCTACTTCTTCTTTCATGCCTGCACGAAATCAATAATATTCCCATTAAAGTTCAATGGCTCTAGTACAAAAGTAAGGCCATTCATACAAGTAGTTCATACTTTTGCAATTAATCCCAGTACTTCGGGGGGAAGGAATCTCATACCGTTCGGCAAACTACCTGGACAGTTTTCTGAGCTCGGAAAAATTTAATTGTTATTAATATGTATGGCGGTTCTCCACAGCTATGTATTTTGCATAGAGTTATAGTTATAAAGAAAAATAATTTCCCAATTTGTTCACTTATCATGATGGCTATTTAAACAAAGACTTTGTATATTTTTGGTATTGTTTAATTACTATTTATATGCGTCACTGAGTAGACATCTTGACCTTACCTCAGATGTGCACAAAAAACTGCTAGCTCAGCTTGGTCATTTTCACTTCTTGGATTTTAGAGGTAAAGATCCGGTTACCTTTTAACATTTTTTGTATTTGGTAATTCATTTATTGTCATTTCAGAAACTGATATTGTCCATTCTGACAAAATTTGTTTTCTCTGTTTTAATGACTGCTAAGGGTAATGTACTTTACACTAATTCACGATGGTTTTTCGAGCGTATGGGAGCAGCCATACAGACTAAAGGTGGGTTTAGATGATGCGTAAATTCCAAAAGTATAATATACAAGAAATTTTAGCCACAGTACATGAAAGGTAGCATCCAGGTATGTAGACAATCTATGCATTGTGCATTTTACAAATGCAAATAACTTCAGTTTACACCTGTCACTATCTCAGAAGTTGAAAATATCTGTAGAACGACCCATATTGCTATACCTGAAATTGTTATCATCACAAGAATTACTGTTTGTATTAATAATCACGGTACACAACCACCAACTCACTCTCTCTCTCTCTCTCTCTCTCTCTCTCTCTCTCTCTCTCTCTCTCTCTCTCTCTCTCTCTCTCTCTCTCTCTCTCTCTCTCTCTCTCTCTCTCTCTCTCTCTCTCTCTCTCTCTCTCTCTCTCTCTCTCTCTCTCTCTCTCTCTCTACTTTGATTCTATATTTTTGGTGAGCATTAAGATTTACATAGAATCCAGAAAAGTGATTGTTGACAATTTTCTTTGATGAGGTAGTACGTAGAACGTCTCACCAACCTGCATCTACTCATGAATGTGGAGTAATAAAACTATATAGTAAAAGATCAAAAGTCTTTCAGTGCAGACACTGAGTAAACACTAAACAAGAAAGCGGACGACGTGAAAATAATTTCCTTTAATATTTTATTGACTAACACAATTTTTTCAAAGGTGTTGGTCAAAAGATAAAATACTATAGGAATAGGAACAGGTGGATTTTCCTTGTTGAATAAAGCGCAACAGAATTATTAAAGACCAGCGCGTTAATTACTCTAGAATATTACGTTTAATCTTGATATCTATGGTACTATGTTCCGACATTTATATTACTGAATTTGAATTATAAATAATATGGGAAGCCTACCTAGTAGTGACAATGATTTTAAGTACTAAGATTCGGTACAGACACGGGAAACTTAGACCATCGCTTTAAGAAATTAAATTTCTGTTTTGAGACGGGAAAAACTGGTTCTTCTGGGCCTAAAACATAATACGTGAGCTTGCCTTCGCGTTAAGAAAATACCGATGTGAATGGATGCAAATTAGCAATTATGTCTTTCAAAATTATTTGATTAATCAAACCAAACATAAAACAACAGAGCAAAATATTTAGTTTTTGAGACATTTTCAATGGTTATTCAATTATAAAGCTATAGGTTTGATGCTCTCACGATGGCAGTATATTATTCCTTGGAACGAATATCTCCGTTTATTTGAGGGAAACGGCATACGTTATGACACAAATAAGAATGGTGAAGGTCTGATATTGCGTTATTAAAGGAAATTAGTATTCATCCTTCTACTCAATCTAAAAAAAATGGATCCAGTAAAAGAAATTCCAGACACAACCTCCATGGTCCTTAACAATCCTGGTCTTTTTTCTTGCCATAATATTCATTAAGAAGCTGGAATTATGAGATTTTTCTCTATTGTTCTCTTTCTCTGTCATTTTAGCCAAAGAACTATTGTTGTGATGGCAATAAAAACAAAAGATTATTGCATATTACTAAGCAAATATTGCTCATATGAGACATAAAAGGGATGAATAATCTAACAGTATATGTATTGACACCTGTGAATCATTATAAGTATGTATGTATATATATATATATATATATATATATATATATATATATATATATATATATATATATATATATTATCGGTTGTTTTATTTTTCCTCCATGATTATATATTATTTATATCTATAGTTTGTTAACTGACCTTAATCCAAAACCAAGTTAATTATCAACCTGACTAGTGCAAAATAGTTTGTAAACAATATAATAAACATCTAATATTTCTCTATCATTATAGATTAAATATTCGAATCCTTATATTTTTGTCTGAAAAAGTACACATCTCCATTTGTTATCTTCTTAAGTTCAATCTCTTGGGGAAAGTGTGTCTTAGGAGAGGGTACTTTCGAATATTTCACGAGGTATGAATTTCAAACTCAGAAAATGCCGGATGTGTACGACATTAAGCTACTCGAAATAGTGAGACTCCAAGATTTATCACCTATCGATGTCTCTTCCATTACTTATCAAAAAGTTTTTCTTTTAACTGAACCAAGCAGAAAGAGTTTTCCATGGATTGCATTTCTTTACTTGTATTTGTAGCAAATTGCTTTTAGAAGTGTGGTACAAAATTACGCATCTGAGTAGTATTTAGAGTAGTTCTTTTACCCATTAAAATCATCTTTACAAACCACATTAGCATGTTTTGAGAACGAAGCATGATATTTTGCCATAAATTTCAAACATCTTGTATTTTCAGCAGGCACTATTCAAAGAACAACAACTAAATTGATTTTGAAAATATGCGTGATCTAGAAAATATATACAACTGTGTCCTATTTATCAGAGATGAGATTCTATTTTATTTAGATTGATATGTCTTGCTGGCTAACAATTTTGCTTTCGTTAGCACCATTTGTCTAATACCAATTCTAGTTGACCTTAGCGCTTGTCTCTGCCGCACCTATGCAAAATATAGTCTTAGTTACTTAGGGACTGTGCGCTCATTCACTAAATTCTGTTTACCAAAAACTCAGACAAAATTTGGACAACTTGAGCTATTTTGTCCGATGTAAAAATAAGTCTTAAATGTATGTCAGTAGTAAGTTCCAGAAAAAAATCATTCATTTTGTTCGCCCGTAAAAGCTAATAAATATCATTGAGGACAAAGGCAACTGTTACTATCCTCAACCGGAAGCGATATTATTTGGTGACTGTGTAGATTGTACAACTAGCATATTGAAACATTCAATTGGCGACATGAAATGAGAAGAAAAAAAATATTGGATAGACAGTAATTATGATTCTATTTTATGGTGTTTATATTAACATTGATGTTATTCATTAATATCTTACTGAACTATTTTAGACTCCCACATGAATATTGATGAATAGCATTACTATAATCTTAAATCATCAGATCCACTCAAACCGGACTTATTCATTTTGTAAACTCTCAAGTTATGTTGTGTTACCTTCGTATGCGCATTTTATTTCTTTATCTCCAACCAAAATGTCTTTATACGGATTATGTGTTAATTGCTTCTTTACAACATAATCCAATTGCACTAAATCCTTTTTTTTTTTGGATAATATTATTATTTAAAATCATGATTGAAAACAGCTTTGTTTTTAGATATACAAACTCACTGATAATTTCGTCTTTGAATGCGCAATATACTCTGAATTGTTTGTGATCCTTATAAAATGGTGCTTTGCATATCCTGAATGGTGCTTTGCATATCCTGAATGGTGCTTTGCATATCCTGAATGGTGCTTTGCATATCCTGAATGGTGCTTTGCATATCCTGCTGTATCGTGAAGATCCATATCCTATTTGTATACACATCGTCAGTAAATTCCTTTATTAGTACACAGTAAGTTGATGCTATCGTCTTAGGTGTTAATTAAATGATTAAAATAAAGTCGTACATCTTGACAAATCCGATACTGTTCTACGTGTCCTACAGTATTCATCTTGAGAAATTCGCTGCTGATCTCAGTGTCGTCATGATATTAGTTCATCATTAAATACAAATAATAGTTTAGCAAATAATTTTTTTTTAAATTTCTTTTTACTTCAGAACGACGTATTTGTATATCTACATGATTTCTAATATTTTCCATTGTTTTCTCAAAATGAATGTTCTTTATTGGCTTATATAAAGATTATTTAGACCACTACCGTGTCGTTTTGCTTGACATCTCAATTATTGGCTTCCGTATTAAATGATTTCATCCATTAGTGTTGACTGAATTTCAATAGTGTCAAACCTCTTGTAATATTCCACATGAAGTATTAGAATTCTGTATGTATATTAGATTTCTTTTTCAACATATTTGGTACTCTATGTTCTAAGTTTCCTTCAGGCAAAAGATTTTTGATTCTCAGATAGCCAGAAATATTCTACTTTGATGAATAATTGCCGTGTGATGAATTATAGGGCTAATGGATAATCAATGTGGACACTTTGTAACTCTTTTGAGTCATCTATTTCAGCCATAATGAAGTAACCGGCATGTGGTATATCTGATACTGTCTAAACGTCTTATTTTTATGGTGTGTGTGTGTGTGTGATTTGGATCTTTAACGTAGCTTTTAACAAGTTTTCAGTCATATCGCTACTATGTCTGCAGTGTGGTAGTTTACAATGATGTCTAGCACTGGGGCATCATGTCGCAGACATGTAACATGATGTCCTACCCAGTCACATTATCCTGACAACAGACCGACCAGTCCTAACACTAACCTCTTAATGCTGAGTGCCAAGCAAGGCAGCTGTTAATACCATTTTTGCAAGTCTTTGGTATGACTCGGTCGGGACTCGAACCCACAACCTCTCGCATCCGAGGCGGACGCTCTAACCACTAGAAAACCGGAGCGGTCATGGGATAATCAGTTTAAATAAACCATATGGATATGGCTCTGTATTTGACCAAATATGATGCGTGCGCATTTGTGTCACGATATAAAATATGTAGTTTCCTTTGTCATAATATGGCACATATTTTATTTATTACAGATATTGATATTCCACACCCTATTGAATCTTAATAAATATTTATAAATATCAGGAAGTAATCAAGAGCTAACGATGGACTACTTACAAAATTACATTGGTATAAAGTATATTGTTTCCTTTTAGCGTCTCAAAAGCATTAGACTATATTAGCATGAAAAAACATTAGTTTTTATCGTTTCCAATTTATCCTAGTTCATTTTGACTTTGGCATAAGTGTTAATAGAGTTTCGTTTCTAAGAACTAAAGAAAGAAAACGTGTTTTCAAATATTGCTTTCTCTTTAATAATAATCTTAAAAGCTGTTCATATAATTATAGGGATAACCACCCTTTGTTCATAATAAAAAATGCATCTTTTCTCTTGCCAACAATTTGGTTATCTGAAAATCGTCATCTTTCATAGATTTACTTATAATATCAAGTTATGAAGAATTGAATTAAAAGATATCGATCATTTTGAGTTGCTCAATAAAAAAGGGTGTACGGTGTTTCATTTTCTTAGATATGCATGTTGAACAAAAATATTTTAAGCTGTTGCAATTTCATTCTTAATGACATACCCATGATACGAAAGCTAGTTGTTGAAAATAACTTGAATTTTCAGTTTAGTTGGTAATTTTAAATTTTATATAAAATGTGATATTAAAGTGACAATTAAAACTGACCTGGTCATTATTGAATTCTTTTTCACAAACATGGCGCTGTATCTTTTTCACTCATTATTATTTTACTGGTTGTTTCAGAAACACATTTAAACTTTGCCCTGAATCATAGAGATCATTCATAATGCCTAAATACATTAGAGCAGTATCTGTTATGATTACGTTTTTGGCTGAAATATTATTTAGTAAGCGTGACCTATTCTTTATCCACAAACAGTGATAGTTTGTTTCTTCTTTTAATTATTATATGAGAAGTATATCGATCGTTGTAGTACTTTATTTTCATATTTGCTTGTCTATAATATATATTAGCATCTATCCTATCCAAAATAATAATATTTAAATTCTATAAATTGTTCACATTCTTTTAGGGTTTTATCTTTTCTCGAAATTCAGGTGTATCAAACGTGTTCTTTGCCTAGCCCCTGATTATGTTTTGCATTTCTTTGTGTGCCTTTTTCTTGAGAATGTAAAGTTGATAAAACAGTCCATTCAACACAAGGAGTGTATTCATTCATCACAGTAATGCATAAATTTATTTCTGTCTTACTTTGGACATAATTGTATGCAAGATGAGCCTTGGTAAGACGCATAGTTTGATACGCTCACCTAGTTACAATTATGTATTTAAAACTTTCCAATCAGATTCCGACTTAGAAAGTCCTCATTCTATGAACAAATTTAACTATAACTTCAATAAAACAGCTTTCATCTAAAATTGGAGTCATGTTTGAAGACATACTGATATTTCTGTGGGTTCCATGTTTATAATCATTCCTCATTAGATCATATAGAGTTTTAATGTTATTTTCAAAGACGGTTTCTCAAACCTTCTGTTTATTGATGATTGATTTTAATGGATATATCTCATAAAAGCAGCAAATATATTCTTTAACTGTTCTTTGAGTATTGGCCTACTTTCTACTTTGTCATTTGACGTTATTAGTTGTCTGAGCTGATTTATTTTTACTCTTAATCTTCATATATTTTCTTCTCGGTGCTTCTGGTTTGTATTGTTCATTCAACACATTACCTGTTAGTATTTCAGCCTATTTTTCTTGGTTCTTCTGTTTTGTACAATTGATTCAACAACTTAACTGACAGTATTTCAGCCTTTTTTCTTGGTTCTTCTATTTTGTATAATTGATTCAACAACTTAACTGACAGTATTTCAGCCTTTTTTCTTGGTTCTTTTGTTCTGTATTATTTATTAAATACATTACATGTCAGTATTTCAGCCTTTCTTTCTTGTCATTCTGTTTTGTACTATTGATTTAATACATTACCTGCCAGTATTTCAGTCTTTCTCTATTGGCTCTTTTGTTTTGTACTATTTATTCAATAATACATTACCTTACACAAGACATAAATTACAGGACTGCCATATTGAAAATATAGAAATTGGCTACAATAAAAACCAAACTATACTATCACCACATAGCCAGAATTGCGGGGAAGGGTCCAGGATTTCCGAGACCACAGGTAACGAATCAAAATATACGCACACACAAACGTAGTCACCTGTCACCTGAAATTTGACGATCGTTTTATTGCACAAGTTTACATGATATTGTGCTCACTTTGAGTAAACAGGCACAAAGACTTTTGATTGGGTGCCCTTTCGAAGAACGTCAACGCCCTTTTGAAAATTTTGGAGCTCCTTAAACACTTGACCTGATCCGGCAATGTACTGTATGGAGAACGCTATAAACATATCATTAGAAACCATTTAGAAAACTATGAACATATCATTGTATAGGTTATTTGAGCATATCATTTCCTTGCGAAGGCCTCCTTGTTAGTTTTGTAGAGGCTATTAGGACGTGGTTTAGATAGTTATCCACTGCTAGAGAGTTAATCCTTATCCTTTTTATCCTGGAAATGATCACAAGGGCACTGTCAGCATCGGAGGAAGAACAATCACCAACCTTCGAAGATGATATTAATGGTACTTGGGATTGCCCAGAAAACAGCAGCAATAACAGATTGAAACCAATATGGAAAAAGATACCAACATTGCTTTTGGTTCCAAAATAATGCTGATGCGCTTGATTGTTATATCCATGATTCTGTTTGCTTGTAAAACAAGGACGCTCACATCAGATCTTCATTCAACCATCGAAATGAGATGCTATCGCAGGATCTTGGGCATCTCATACACTGACCATGTAACCAACGAAGAAGTCCACAACGGGATCCAACAAACCATCGGATCCTATGAAAACCTCTTGTCCACTGTAAAAAAAAGCGCAAACTGAAGTGTTACGGTCATGTCTCAACATCATCTGGACTGGCAAAAGCAATCTTGCAAGGCACAGCGCGAGGGTGCAGACGAAGAGGCATATAGAAAAATAATTAGGAGACAACATTATGGAGTGGACAGGCATGGAATTTGGATATTCTCAAAGGGCAGTAAAGAACAGGGGAAGATGGGGAGAATAGATTATAAAGTCAACTGTGGTGCCTCAGCGACCTCTTTGGTTAAGGGATTGATGAGGAGGAGGAGCCACTGCTAAGTTACTGACTGAGAAAAAGAAAGACAAAATGCGAAGCATGCGTATCAGGATAAATTAGGGAACAAAATCATTTATTATCAGTTCTTCCATAACTTGGCATAAACTGATCCTTAGAAGTCAATTGCTTACAGAGAAGACAATGAAGTTAAATGATATCAGTTCGTAATACCTTAGATCAGAACACCATAGCTGATCTCTTATTGTAAACCATTGACCGTGTTTTACTCATTGCTAGTTGTGGAATAGGGAGTACTTGAATTCTTAATGCAAACTATTGACAGAGTTTTACTCATTACTAGCTGTGGAAGACAGAGTACTTAATTTCTTGTTGCAAACCGTTGACCGTGTTTTACTAATTGTGGAGTTCAGATTACTTAATTCATTACACCAAACTGTTGACTGTGCTTTACTCGTTGCTAGCTATTGAATTATATATATATATATATATATATATATATATATATATATATATATATATATATATATATATATATATATATATATATATATATATATATATATGTGTGTGTGTGTGTGTGTGTGTGTCTACATTTGAACAAATAAAAATATGAATAACAAGCCAATAATGTGACAAAATCGACATTATTTTGTATGTTTTAATGTTCTTATCTTTGGCTAATTAAAATTTTTGAATGTGGTTTTCATCCAAATATAGGAAGAAAAAGTCGACGACGACGATGATGACGATGATAATGATGATCTGGAAAGATGGAACTGGGTTCTGCAGCACACAAGATTCACTTCATAAAATGGCACCAGATCGCCGACCAAGCCTGTGCTGCAACTATTGCTTTTTATTTAATTACTTTTCTTTGGAAAGCTTGCAGAGGAACGAAGTTAAATTTCTTAGAAAACAAGATGTTGCCACATGTTAATATAAAAATATAAAACACCCTTTATTTGAACATGATACTGAGTATTTGTTTTACCAGAATACTGTAACTCTGCTGCACAAGAAATGGCCAGAAAAATAAACAGAATGGGATAATATTTAGTTCATATACTTTAAACATGAAATAGCATCAATGACTAGATGTATAACAGAAAATGAGAGTAACGTTACCTTACAAAAATTAATTATTAAAAGCATGTCAAATCCTCTATTTAAAATTTGACCAATCGTGTTTGTATGTAAATATAACAAGGTGGAAATATTAAAATCACCATGATTGAAAATGAGAACCAGATTTTACCAGAGCAAACCAGTTTTAGCAATGATTAAATTTCTCCCTTTTATGTCATACAATTATCATGTAAGGTCAATATTGTTGTCAGTTTAATGGTTTAAGTCATATAAGACGCCGTCTCTGCCAGCAAATTGCATCAACTATCCTTACCTATTGGACAGTTAGCTTTGAGAAAAAGATATTTTAAAAAATCAGCTTGATCTATCTTTAGTTAATTATTCCTGTCTCTGATGTTAGCTACATATTCCAAAGGTAATAACTCGTCTGTTTTATTGACCGTCCCTGAATATACGTTTTAAATGTATTTTCTGGTTGGTTTGGTTTAAACATATTTTATTGCCATGGGATCGGGTTGTGAGTCACGTTCTCACAACTTAGAAACAGCCCTCCCCTAAATACAAACGTAGATACATGACAAGTGGCAAGGACTAACAGTACATGCATTTACTAATGCGTGAAATAGTGCGTTATTAGAATGAA